ACACACTGTCCATTTTGTTTCATAATCTTCCCGGTGAACACATGCAAAGTATATGTGTTACGTACATTGCATATTAATTTCACACACTTAATTGGGTTTAGAACTATATTTTATAATTAACATCACTTAGTATGGACAGCGTATAAGAATTCATATATAATCGAATATTTTCGCGCGTGTTAGTTGTTTTTAAGTAATTCCAGATTTCCAAATCTTTGGAGCAGCAGTTAAAAAGCTATGCGATTGTACAAACATGAAGGTGTTATACAAAATAGTACAGTACATAGCACACTGCTGCTATGATAAACATTGTGACACAAAAAGAAGCATAGTTATTGTACTGACTTTCAAGTTCCACCTTTATTAAAAATATGGAGAAACGTGATTATCAGGCCATTGCTATTTTATGGTTTATGTAATCAACAATAATTTCCATACTACTTGGTAACATAAACAAAAACATTTTAAATACTCCCAGCCAACATAAGCAAAATAATTGATACACTATACCTTTCAGTCAAAATAGGTTCACATCTAGTAGATGTATTTAATCCTCCTCCAGACTAACCAATTTTACGTGACATGCCTAAATATGGTCATGATGACATCACATCATGACCATATATAGGCGCACCATGACTAAATATAGGCATACAACAGATTTTTGTATGGACAAAGGCTCTGTCCACACTATAAAATTTACAAAGAACAGAGAACTATCGTATGCCCACATATAGTTCTGAAGTGATGCCATCATGACTATATTTAGGCATATTTTTGCAAAGTAAAATTGATTAGTCTGGAGGGGCTTAAAGAATAATCTGAGTGTTTTTATTACAAGGTGCATTATGCGGAATATGAAGTAGTTTACCACAGGAAAGGCTATAAATGCAGTTAAATTATAAAGGCATTTCATAAAAACAATGCAAACAACATTTAAATACACTATACAACACATCATCTGGGAGCACACACAAATAGCAATTTTGGTCACGATGACATCACATTATGACCATATATAGGCACATCATGACTATATATGGGCAATACAATATTTTGTCAAAGAAAATTTGATAGTCTGGACTGCAGACAGCTTAATATTGAATCACAGCAGCATAAAGCTAAGCTTAGGCTACTCTTGCAACATGACTCAACTTAACTGATATCAAATGGCTTTTGGAAAATGGCCAGCGAGTTGTGCGATTTGAGATAACATAAAACACAAACACAATTCACACATCAACACATAAATGCTCATGTGATTGAAAGCAAATGAATATTCATGAATCAGTTGAACCATGTTCTATGCTGTTGCAATCCGAACCAACTGACAAGTAACTGAAAAGGGTTATGTGACAGCTGTAGTCTGACGTATCCAATTAGGCGAGACTTTTTTTATACCTTGTTTAGCGAGCCCGTCACCCGCCAATAATTGTGATTTCGAGTAAAAATAAAATTTCACTTTGGCCAATTAACGCAACTGCCGCCACAAAAAAATGTTTTTCAATATTTTTATTAAGCCCATTGCTGCCTTCAAATTTCCAAAAATAAGTTACGTATATTTCTTCCTAATTATATAAATTTAAAGCATTTTACTACACTGCTTACATCCACAACAATAAAATTTTATTTCTTCTCCGCCTAAATGTTTTTGGCAAAACCATTTGCTAAAAATAAGAAAACAAAATTTTCCACTCTCCTCTGGCGAGAGTTTAACAAGGTATAAAAAGTGTCTCACATTATGGTACGGTTGCATGGAAATATGGTACGGTTGCATGGGGTTAAACATGCTACAGTCTTAAGTTACATAAACACTATTATGGGCAACTACTTTAGTTTGCCTAATCGCTTGCAGTTGTCCGTAGTTGTGCGGAGGGCGAAAGTCGACATAAGTGATACCAGCAACTAGTCGAGTCAAACGGCAAGGGTGACAAAAGCTTAGCCTAACTCTTTTTTCTCGTCGTTCACTCCACGCTCAAATTCACCTGTTAAGTTCTTACTTATGAGTCGTTCATAAGGACGAGGATTCAACTTCATTCACTAACCAACATCATTAAGCCCGGTTAAGATTACCAAACTTTTTATGACAAAAACATACCTAAATATTGTCATGGTGACATATCATGACCATATATAGGCACATCATGACCATATATAGGCACATCATGACTATATATAGGCACATCATGACCACATATAGGCACATCATGACCATATATAGGCACATCATGACCATATATAGGCATATCATGACTATATATAGGCACATCATGACCACATATAGGCACATCATGACCACATATAGGCACATCATGACCATATATAGGCACATCATGACCATATATAGGCACATCATGACCATAGATAGGCACATCATGACTATATATAGGTATACAACACTTTTTTGTCAAAGAAAATTTGATAATCTTGACAGAGCTTTAGAGATGTTGATCATTATCATTTTGAGTTTCTCTAGTTCGTCACTGGTACAACCTCACTGGTAACCGCTTGGATACTGGCCCTGTGGATATCCTCCATACCCAGGCTGCTGCTGTTGCTGCTGCTGCTGCTGTTGGCCTGGTTGGGGCTGCCTATACCCATACCCAGGGGGAGCTCCCTGACCTTGCGGGTAGTCTCCGTAGCTCCCAGGTGTTGCAGAATACTGACTGCCTGGTGGCATGTTAGCACTCGGGGGAAAGTTCTGTCGCTGCATCTGAGATGAATAGCCTTGTTGTCCGGGGTACTGAGGTGGGAAATTCTGGGACTGACTGTAAGATGTTTGACCTGAAAATAATATTCATAAAAAAAGAAACAAATTACAAATAAATATTATAATTATCATTAATAGTTGCAAAACAGACATTTTTTTTAATCAGCTCAAATAATATTAAGTATCATGCCTACCGGACTGTGGTTGTCCTCTGAATGCCATTTGCTGCTGTTCTGACATCATCATTTGACTTTGTCCTTGCGATGAATACTTTGATTGCATTGGGTACTGTGACTGCTGTTGCTGCTGCATCATACTCTGTTGTTGCAAACTTATCATCCCGCCTGCAATGATGATCAACCATCATGACAAATCATATTAACAAAGACATATTATAGGAGTGATGTTTTGCCCCACCTGATGTGTTATCGTACCGAATACACAGGACATTCACAAATACTTGCGAAAAAATTTTCCAAGTGATTTGGGTGGGAATTGAACCCACAACCTTCAGATAACTAGGCTGGTGTGATAACCACTACACAAAATAGATATGATTATCAACTGCATTATTATCAATCTTGACATTGTTGATCACAACATCATTATTGATTATATCACCACCAATCACATCACCATAAAAAAAGACATCATCAATTGGCACTATGACCCACCATCACATCATTAGCAATCACATCATATCTTCAGCCTCACAATAGCTACGACTCAATAGGGAGTCCAAAGCAATGCTCATTAACTGTACATGCCTTTATAAAATTTATCGCAAATATAGACGGAGAGCAGAAATAGCGACATGCAATGTGCAATATAACAGAGGTGCGATACTACTTTACCTCAAACTATTTAATTACCTTTACCTTGTGGCGGTCCCATAGTCGGATGAGGATAATTAGCTGATGATGCCCCGCCACCCATGCTGTCCGAGTATCTGCTAGGTGTGGTCATTGGCTGTGATCCGGCTGTAGACGACATAGGCTGTTGGGTTTGCTGTTGGGTCTGTGATGGAGGCATTGTCTGCTGCTGCTGTTGTTGCTGCTGCTGCTGTTGTTGTTGTTGTTGCTGTTGCATTTGGTGTTGTTGCTGCTGCATTTGTTGTTGTTGCTGCTGAATTTGTTGTTGCATTTGCTGTTGGTGTTGTAATTGTATTTGCTGTTGGGACACAGGTGGTCCTGCAAGAATAAAAATTTAAGGAAGTAAGTAATCTTTATACAATTACCACACTATGATACACATATATTTGTGTAAGAGAGCACTAGACAAAACGTGCAAAATTATAATTATCACCGCCATATTTTATCAAGTACAGTATAAGCTCACAGGACAGACGTGGATGGTTTCAGTTTGGAGAGACCTTTGCCCTGCAGTGGGCTGATAACGGCAGAAATGATTATGATAAGTATATCCTGCATCTTTCCAAGCACAAGCACACACCATAAATTCAACAACACATAGATCTACCAATCATTATCATGAGTTGATAAGTACTAACATGCTTGCTAATATACAATATTATCATAATAAAAATTTGATAAACAATACTAAATAACACAATACCTTGGAGTTGTTGCATGGGCATTCCAGATGACGTTGGTGGAGCAGCTGGTGGTGGCATGGATCCAGAAGCTGAATCAGAGACGCTGTTTGGAGTTGAGCTTGGCGTGTAACTTGGAGGAGGCATACTCTGTTGCCCTTGGCTTGACACAGTCTGCGAGGTTGAGTGTGGAGATGGAGACATGTTCTGTTGTTGCTGCCCTTGCACGGCTCCACTCTGCATTCCTTGAGAGTGTGGCGTCATGCTATGTGGGTGTGATCCTGCCATGTTCTGCTGAGGATGTTGTCCGGCCATGCTTTGTTGGGAATGGTGGCTAGGCATAGACTGTGGGTGGGGACTGGACATTCCTTGTGGGTGAGGACTCGACATTCCTTGGGGATGTGAGCTGGTCATGCTTTGGGGATGTGGTCCTGACATACTTTGCGGGTGGGGTCCTGACATACCCTGAGAATGGGGTCCTGACATATTCTGTTGGTGGGAAGCAGACATGTTTTGCTGATGTGAACCAGATAGGTTCGCCGGATGAGGGCCTCCTGGCATTCCGGGTTGATGGTGTCCTGGCATGCCTTGTGAATGTGCCCCTTGCATTCCTTGTGGATGTGAACCTTGCATGCTTTGTGGCATACCACCAGGCATTCCTTGTGGATGGTGTCCTGACATGCCTTGGTTTACTGGCATGCCTTGCGGATGAGAACCCATTATAGCCTGTGGATGTGGGCCATGCATTCCTTGAGATGATGGTGGCTGACCACCTTGTCCCGGATTCTGAAATAAGGAACAACAATGAATAGTAAATTAATTTAATTTGATGTTGCAGTAAATTTTATAGATACCAATTAGTTTTTAATTATTTTTTTATTTCTGAAATGGCTATCTCTTTTTTATAAACCAAAATACTTACTCCCCCAATTGATGGCATATTTTGGTTAGAATCTGCTAGTGTTGCAAGGTACACAAGGTTACGATGTAAAAGTTGCTGGTATCTGAAGAGGCAATTTTAATATTATATATTTTAATATTAATATAATACAATACAAAAGTAAATAACATAATATATTGGATTATCCTGGATATACTGTATGAAATGATATAAATAGTATAATATATGGACTATTTGACCAAAATACTTAAAAAGTACAAGAAATAACCAATGGTCAAGGCAGCAGTGGACCTTTTCACTAAGCCCCGGCCCTTAGATATTGTTGCCAAGGTTCCACAAAATGGCAGTGTTGAAATATACACGAACATATGCATTGGTGGGACAACATGTGTGATTGTTAAACATGCGCATATTACTAGCACTGTTCTGATTACTGAGTTGTTATGTTTGAATGACACTTCGGAATGATCCATTCAGTAAATGTTCATTAAAACTAGATTTGTAAAATCACTTACTGAGCAACCTCTCCACCCTTGCCTTTGTTTTGAAAATCCATTATTGTTTGAATCAGTTGATTATTTTCATCGAGCATCTGATAGTAAATAAAAGACATGTCATAAAATGAGCTCCTCCCTAAATAGTGGTTAGAAGGTTTGAATGCCAGTAAAATTAACGCAAATGTACAAATAGTTTTAGAAGCTTCAGTGCTGTGCTTACAAAAAAAAATATTGGCATGGCGTTTTCCATGCCTGTTCCCATGTTACCTGCCTCACATATTGCTGTAATTCAGTAGGCCTATTATAGGTCCTATGTCATCGTAAATAAACGTTTAAAGAAATGCTTGTGTCTTAATTGTGTTATTTATTCATTTTAACAATGTATACATTGTATTTAAAACTCTGTTTCTCAAAGTGTTTCATTACACACAGGATAATTATAACTATTGATTAAATGCTGTGGCGCTTATTCGAGTGCGCTGCTTAGCGAAAAAATTAAGGTTTGGTGCAGCGCTTATTCAAGCATTTACAGTACCCGGCTGGCAGCCAAGTTTCTCCTTCTTAACTCTCCTTCTGGTACTCAACAAAGTCAGGCCTCAACCAAGTCGCATATCAACCAGTTTTACATTCTGGGATATTTTTATACATATTAATATTTAATTTATATATTTTTATATTTTCCGTTATTCTACTATAATATATTAAAAATATTATTTTCATATTAAATTTCACCAGTTTGCAGCTCAAAAATCATGTTTTAATCATTGAAACTTTGTGCAGTACAAAAAATGAGTACTTCTTGCATTAGCTAGGCCTATCTTCTGATCTTTTTACCAACTAAAACTGTAAAAAATGCCTATCTAGGCCTCTATTTTAGTTATTATACCCATTCCGATATCAACGATCTACACAAAAATCAGAAAAAGCATGATGGCCTACCTTTTGAACTGTTGCCTGATCAGGCATGGCTCTTCCTCCTCTCTGTCGCTGAGGGACGAATGCGATCGACATGTTTCTCTCTGCGGCTAAATACTATCTAACTATTATTAGCCTCAATTTGAGATGTTCGAATCCTTAATTTATCACCTATACAATTATAATACAATACAATAAGTATTTACAAGATACTCTGTGTTTCTTTCAGCAACTTCAGGCATAACAAATTAAATTAAACTCACACGTTCTCGGTTCGTACGTACTAACACAACATGCTCAAACCCTTTGTCACTGCAAACAGGTTCCAATGGTTGTTCTTCTTACATGAGGCATAGTCCATTTTTGCATATGCGTGCATTGTTACAATTATTTTACTGTTATTGGAATTTTTTTATCTTTTAATACTTAGGTTTGCCTTCCATAGCATAATTGCTTATATTTTTTATAAAATACAGTATTCAATTTCATTTAATATCATACAAAATACCGAATTGCTGGGATATTTATGAGAAAATTTCACTTTTAGAAAGTAGTAGATTCATATCCTCATAAGTTTTCAAGATGTCTGCGCCCATGGTGATGTTACGGAGAGCGGTTCCGTCAATTCTGTGTTGTCCTGAATTAAGATCTTTTTCAGTTTGCACATCACTTATGAAAGAAAAAAGGCTCAGCAAACTAAACAGGCTGCTTGAAAAGAAGAAGTAAGAACATATAACAACTCACACACATATTTATAATACATTTAGAGGCTAGGCTAGGCCCTTGCCATGCCACTGGGGGAAGGGCCTACGAAGGCCCCAGCTAGCCTAAGTCTGTTCCTCCTACTAACTGTAGGTTAGGCTAGGGGGTAGCGAGGAAGTGCTGCCTTTTTAGTAGTGGTGTAGGCTAGATAGGTAGGATAAGACCCGATTCCAGGAGAACCAAGAAACGTCCAGACACTAGGGAGTGTAGTCGATCAATTCGTTCACGTTTTGGATGGTGTACAGTGGCACCGACCACCAACCGAAGGTTGAATGTATGGAACACTGATACTGGTAACATAAATGTTGCATGTTGTAGTAAGGCTTATTCATTTCTTTTAATTCATTTTCATACTTTCCCATAACTAGGTAGGGCCTTAGTTAGGCCTATATTTCACTGTATCTTCATTTATTTATGTATTTTTAAAGAATTCGATCCAACTCGGCCACAAGTCAACTCGGCTACAAAAAGTTTGGCTACAGTCAACTCGGCCACCAGTCAACTCGGCCACAAGTCAACTCGGCCACAAGTCATTTACTGGTACTACACTTTGTAGGAGTAATTCATCAAGTATAAAATACTAATTCTTTAAGTATTATTATACTTATTATTATTATTATTATTATTATTATTGCTGTTATTATTGTTGTCATTGTTGTTATTATTATTGTTGTTTTTATTACTGTTAGTTTTAATATTAATTATTAGTCTTAGCATTAATATTATATATTGTTCAAATTTTTGCTGATATTATTATTACAGTACCATATAAATAATAGATAATTTTCGATTTTTAATTATTATTATTTATTAGTCTTAGTATTATTAATTTAATAATAGTAATTTAAAAAGTTATTGTTATTGGTGTTTTATTGGTATTTTTCTCATATTATTATTATTATTATTAATATTATTGTTGTAGTTGTTGTTGTCACCTTTATTATTGATATTATTACCCTATTATTACTAAGTAGGCCTAGTATCATTATTATTATTACTAATTTATAAAGGTACTAAAAAGTATACAGTTGAACTTGCCTGTCGAATCCAAAATGGCATTGAAAAACTGTTCAACTTTGATCAAATTTGACTTGCAGATCGTTAATAGAAATCAACAATTTAGCATGTGAAATAAGATCGACTTAAAAATTATCGAGTTAGGCAAAGTCTGTACAGTATTATATTTTATCATAGACAGGGATCCGGCGGGAGAGGTGTCTTGACCTGTCCAAGCCTCCAGTTACCCCAGACATCACTACTCTAGTGTGTGTGCTATTTTATTACCAATTAAATGAAAAGACAATTTGTTAAGTGTTATATATATGTTTATAATAAATTTATATAAAAAGAAAACATGACCACACATATTTATTGTCTTCTTTTTTTTTTAGGAAAAAGTTCTATTTTAATGTAAACAGTCCTGGCCAGTTTAACAGAACGGTATGTATAGTAGAAGCTCCAGAAATTTCTGGCTATCCAGAGGTTCCTATTCTTAAAAAAATCTCAGTTGGGAGGGGGAACACCCTCTCAAACCCTTCCCCCAGAAGTCCCCCCCCCCTGTCGGACAGCTCAGCGTCCCCAGAAAATATATCCTAGAGCCGTCACTGTTTAAATGGACATCAACAGAGTCAAATAGAACCAATTTACAACTAATATTAATAATGATACAAGGCCAAGAAAAAAAATGTTGTCTGAGGTGTTGCCCAATCAAATTGATACTGTAGTTAAAAGTTTGAAACGTAGCCTTTCAAGGTATCATTCAAGTTTTCTGGGCTCCTCCTTGATAAAAACATAAATTTTTATTTTTATCAGATTAATAAATGTGCGACATCAAGAAAACCAGGACGGATGCAACCGGAAGACAGTGTGAGGCTGCGATGTTTAAATGACAACACATTCCAACATATCTGTGACATGGTCAACTCCAACTTGATTAGCGAAGAATTAGAAAATTTGAATGTCCTGATACTTGGGGTAAATGTATAGTTGATCCACTTGTTCCTTATCAACGCCATAGCAGGCAACCCCACTAGGTAGCCATTTATACTTATGTGTGGAGAGAAGCACAGAAGATAAATTGAATTGCTCAAGTACACAAGCTTAATGCAAAGCAAGGGATTAAAAGCCCAGTTCCAGTTCCCACTGTGCCAAACTACTCCTAGTGAATTGTTATTAGCAAACGTACCCTTCTACATAGCACCCATGTTCGATTAGCACTCGTCCTGTGTAATACAATGGCGTATTTAGGGGGTGTTCTCCCCCATTAAAGACTCCTAAATACGCCCCACTGGTGTAATATTCATGTATGAAAAATTTACATCATTGCAGTTTCTGCATGGATCTGCTTTACCGTATATTTACAAGATCAGGAGGATATTTTTTGTTGCAGGTACGATTGACTGGTGATTTAGGCACTTGTCGTGTATACTGGCAAGCATCTGGCAACGTTGAGAGTGATGACAAGGTCCAAGAAATTCTTGATAGGCATACGTTTACTATTAGGTTAGTGTATTCGTGGTTTTCACGGTCAACCAGATATAATTTGTGAGTTAGACAAAGAATCACACTCTATGATTCAGCGCCTTCCACTTGTAAAGTTTTGTCCACACTACTGTATACAATTTTTATGTGTAAAATGTGTGTGATGTGCCCATATATGGTCATGATCATGTCATAATACACCCAAATATGGGCATATCACATTTTATTTGTCACATAAAATTAATATTTACTTCAGAACTTCATATTGAATCCATTGAAGTAAAACTGTAGCCAGTGGTGGCATCGGCTCAGGATCATAAGAAAATTCCCTCCATCAAACAAGCAAGTCAGGCGACACTTGAGGTTGTCAGACGACTAGAAGCATCAATTTGCCTATCAAACCAAAGTGATTGCAGCACCTTAAGCACTGTCCAGATTAACAAATTTTCTTTGACCAAAGGTTTTTTATGCCCATATATAGCCATGATGTGCCTATACAGGTACATGCTGGACAGGTCTTTAATCAAGTTCAAGGAGGGGAATTCTCCCTTTGACACCAAACAAGAGTTTTCCATCTGTCAGGGGACCCTCTGTTCATTACTACTGTATTTGTGTTGCTGAATTATTATACTGTTTTCCAAGATTTATAATTATTGTTGTCACTATTATCTTTCTTTTCAGACATACACTAGCATCATTAAGAATATTCAGCAGGACCCCAATCATTGTATTTGTGCGTGATAAACTAAGCGCAAACACAGCTGAAGTAGACAGATTACTTGCCCAGGCAGATATGGGACCACCAGATCCGGAATACGAACCAGATGATCCTATTCCCTCAGCGATCGACATGTCTCCTATTCACGTTCACTCTCAGAATTCTCTTAATTTTCTGAACATGGACTTAGGGAAGATAAATCAGGAAATTGAAAAGTATAAAAAGACATTTGGTCCTGGCGATTCCAACCTCATTCAGGAAAGTTCATCGGAAACGACAGCTTACACAGATGAGGACATCTCTAAGAGCTTTGAACAATTTAAGGTGCTACAGAGGAAGAAGAGGAAAAGAAAGGAAAGGAAGTCAAATCCAATTGCAGCTAGCTTTAATGAAGAGGAATTTCAAGACAGTATGTTACTTGAGGATGAGTTTTGTGATATTGAGAACATTGACGATGATGACGATGATGATGGGTTGCAACTTCCCCCAGAGGACACCTTTAATAGGTAGCTTAGACAATGTTGGAAAATGCAAAATGAATTGAAATATTAATAAACATGCTTTGAATTAATGGCGTATATGATAGTGGAGTAGTTATGATGCCAGTCTTCTAGGTCAAAGGTTCAAATCTAGGATTTTTTATGATTAAAAAAAATTCACTCCCTTAAGCTGGGCACTCACTGTGTTGTACGACCATCGTACAGCAAATTCAACTCCGCGACGCTACCCCATCTGCTGATTGTCGGTGGCCTGTGACAGTGATACTACAACACAGTATCGGTACGCATACTTTAATAACTAGGCACACAACAATGCTCCAGTTTCTTGTATGTTTTATTTCAAACTATACTCTCCATTTCCAGCTTACGTACACAACTCCCAACTGTCACTGTACTTGTGCTATCTGTACATGTGCTATCTGACCTCTCAGGTAATGCTGTTACTATTAATAACATGTACTCTACTGTATATAGCAATACTACAGCTGGCGAATCAAACTCTGCTCCCCATGAGTGATAGACAATGTGACACTGCCTACTGATTTTCGGTGACAGTCTGAACGGATCGTCATTAAAAAGATCTGTTGCGCATTTGTCGTGTTCTCTATAGAATCAGGTCGGCCAACAACACTCAGGTGCAATGAGTGCTCAGCTTAATGAGATGTGATTTATAAAGCATTACTTCCATCTTGCATGTGGTGAGTTATGTAGAATGAGAATGAAATAAATTTAAAGATGGTATTTAAACATATTATTATTGTCTCTGATACCATAACTCAAGTCTCCTCATTCATTTGGGAACACTTCGGTAGAGCGCCACAAATGAGGCTTGACCATGTGCTTTGCTTACTGGTAGTGGTGATTGGATACAATTCATTTGGACTTTCCAAAAAGAAACCACAACAATCGGTTTGAGCACCATTTAAACATTTTTTTAATTTGAAAACTATGTGAATGAATCTAACTATAAAAATAGAACAATCTAATATAGCAAATAACACCTTGTTTTTATGCTTTTCACTTAATTCTGCCAAAGCAATACGGTAAAGTTTTACTACAATTACAGTAAGGAGTTATTTTATAACATACTGTAATAGGAAATACATATGAATGCAAAAGCTGCAAGTGGCAAGTTAGTTAAAAAAAAAAAATTTATTCTTGTGTTGACCAATTCTGTTTTAGCAATCTTATACAAAATTCTATTTCACTTTTCATGCCTTTAGTAACCTCTAAAATAACACCAAAGACCAACATTTAAAGCTGTGTCCACACTATTTTTGATTTTTTATGAATATACCCATTCATCAAAATACATCACACTTTTTGTGTGATATTTTTTTAATACAATTTGGTAGTATGGAAAGAGGCTAATGGGGCTGCTGCATTGATTATAGGAAGCTTACAATGACAGTAGAACATAATGACGTCACTAAGTAGTCTTCTGCGCATGAGATAACACAGTTTGTGCTAAGAACGTACGACGGTCACAGACTCACAGAAGATTGAGTCTGTTCTGCTCACTATTGATTATCAAAATGCTAAAGAATATGCAATAAATCTTAACTGTGGCGATCTCTAGGTCCCTCGTTTCAATTCCCATTGCTGCCTCTCCTTGTGTTTCAGCTGGAGGGCTGAAATACAAGTTACAATAGTGCACAAACTTTCAGATGAGACGTTTAAGGTTTTGGTCCTGTGTGCATTTATGGTCCTGTATGCATTTATGGCCCATGTGCATGTTAAACAACGCAGTACACTCTTTCGGAAAAGAGTAGGGGATTGTCTCCCGGTGTACTGTCCAATCACCACAAGAAGGACCCCACTGCAAATAAGTCTTTTAGACTTTCATAGGCTATTCTTTGTGTTTACACTGCAAAAATTCAATCAAGCAATCAATCTATGGGTCCATGCTGTACCTCATGTTGAATTGACCTAGCCAGCATAGGTTGTAACCTACGCAATGGTGACAATGTGTTTTCATAATATTTAGTTATTAAATAAATACGAATATGTACAGTAGACTACATTTATATTATAATTTTCTTTTTAACAAAGGATGCTATCCATCCTTAAAATTCAATTAAAAAATTTTCAAAAAAAATCAAATCAATAAACTTCTTTTCCTAGTCCAATTTTTTTTACATAATTGCATTCTAACTAAATATTTCCATTTTTTACATACATGAATAATAATGTTATTCCAAAAATCAGTTAACAAATGATTGAGTAGCGATAACATGAGAAACTCTAAAATTAAAATAAACATCTTTATATACAAGTATGAATGTACAACGTGTTCCAATAACTCCTTGTTAAGTCTTTTTATACCTTTATTTGCTTATTTTTAGCTTGTTAGCACACCCAACACTACATAAAAAGTATAAAGTGAAAATATTTTATCACACCGTCACCTGCTGCCACCATAGTGCAAGACGTTTTTCCCTTATAACCAAGTACACATTAAGCATTTATCAGTGCGATTACTGAACTTGTTCACATCGCCAATGTATTTTTAATGACAATGAGATGTGATATTCGAAAATTTTAAAGCGAGGGTCAAAGGGCGCCTTCAATTACTTCTTATCTCATAACACTGAACATTTTATTTTTATGCTTTTGTTAGAACCAATTTTGCTAAATAGAAAATAAAATTTAACATTTTAATGTTATTTTGCGCCCTCCTACGAAGACGCTAAAAAAAAAATAATGTATACGACACAAGGTATGAAACAGTCTCGCCATAGCATGTAAAATCACATCCCTATGTTCTCATTCAAAAACTGTCATAATATACATATTAAATATCTTACAATTACAAGATCGCATTCTCCGCGTTTTCTGCATGCAGATTCTGTAATAACAGTGTAGGGCGCCCTCACACAAAAGTGATTACTTTTTAACTTTGACTTTAGAGATCGTTAACTAAAGATAGCGTATCTGTGTGCAACTTCTATGACGACCATTGTAACAACTAGGGCGCCCTCTCTCAAAAGTGATTACTTTTTATGTTTCTTTCTACTGAACATCGACACTTCTACTTGCTATGCATAGAATGGCAGAGAGTACTATCTTGTAATTATAAGATCTTTACTATATATACACAGCTATTTGACACTGCATGTTGGAAAGATCACATCTTGGGCTTGACTACGTTCCCTGCGTAAGCCACTGGTATCAACTCTCTGCGATGCTCCATTGGGAGATGTTGCTCAATCAAAGATTGGAGAGATTGCTTACTTGTTATCAAGCCCTGTCTGTGAGGAAGAAAAACAAAGTTGCATGTCACAATAGACCTTTCCGATAAGCCATGCTCTTTGGATAATGTTGCTGAGGTCCCAGAAAATGACATTGTAAAAACATTACTACCCTTGATGGTCTTCTGTTATGCCCAGGTTTCCAAGGGGCCAATGGTGAGGTTTTTTTTATTGATTACGTTATGTTGGCCTTTGTGCTTGTATGTTTTTCTCATACTATACCTGAATAAATAAATTGAAAATTGAAACGGGCGTGTTTGTGGGACAACACATGTAGGCGGCGCATATTCCTGGGTCTGTTCTGATTGGTCAGTTGTTAAGTCTGATTGACACTCCGTAACGGTTTATTATAACACTGAATTGCTCATTTAGAAACATTATTTTTGCATCTGTCACTTATTCAGAAAAAAATAGTAATTTTCCCTAGAAGGCCAACTTACTTTGTATACAAGCAACATCACTTTCTAGACAAAATGACATATAGGTAGGCAAGCAGTGGGAAAGAGAATAACTTTCAATAGGAATGTTTATTTTTACTCCCTACCTGGCACGCTACCGAACTGAATACTAAATACGTTACCAAATAATAATAATACTTATAAGTGACAAGTAACACTTTTTATGACCAAAAAAAAAATAAAAAAATTAATAGAAAAATAAATTCAAACCTTTTCATGAGCAATTCGATATCTGTCGTTTCAACAGTTTGTCGGTTGGCATGTTTACAATATGTTCTTAAATCTGTTGTCAATCTTTTGAAAAATTGCTCACTTCTGAAAAGAAAAAAGAAAAACAAAACATAACACAAAATTACACATGGCTAAACTTAAAATGTGTAAACATTCCACAGCCAATACCTCTCTTTACTACATTCACACTTACCCTTTTTCAACAGCTGCAAGGGCTTCCTTAGAGACCTTAGCACTTGAGAAATGGCAGAAGATACTCTTTGTCAAACTGGTTGGTAGAGGTGGTTGGCTGCGTTCCTTCTTAGATCCTCCACTTCTTGGCGTCTTGGATTTTGGGGCAACACTAAAGAAAAAATTGATTATGAAAATGGGATGAATATTGGTAATAAAGTGAGTAATGTTAATGGATAATACACCACCCATGATTGCTGTAGGTCAGATAATAATTCAATGTTTTTTTGCATTACATAATGTTACAGACATCAAGCCTCAAGTTACCTGAATGTGGTTGACATACCTTTTCTCCATTTGAGTGTGTTTTTGCTTTCGTTCAGTGAGAACTGGAGTTTTGTAAGCTCTCTTGGAAATGATTGGTGTTTGAAGATTACGGTAATCTTCAGTAGCATCTTCAGTAACTCCTCCTAAATCAGTATCCTCCTCAATGTCAGAGAATTCTTCAGGTTCTATGCTGGTGGTTTGCAAGATTTTTTCAACTTCCTCTTCTGTTGCTCTTGCAACTCTGCTTTCTTCATCAACATTGTCTGGACCTAATGCTTCTGTCTCCATTTCTGTATCTCCCAAATTACCACTACTAATGGTACTATTGTCTTTTTTATTAGGCACCGCTGTCACAGCACTGGTATGACTTTTTCTTAAGCCACCACCACTAAGACTTCCATTGTCTTGTTCCTCAAGTGCCTCTGTTGCAAGACTAGAGTGATCACTTACTAAGTCATCACCACTGAGACTTCCACCTTCTTCTTCACTGAGTGCCTCTGTAGCCTCTGTATGAACATTTCCGAAGTCATCTCCACTGACACTTCCATCATCTTCTTCATCAGGTGCCCCTGTCACAACTTTGGTATGACCTTTTCCTAAGTCATCTCCACTGAGACTCTCATCGTCTTCTTTATCAGGTGCCTCTGTTGCAACTCCAGTAAGACCTACTCTCAAGTCACCACCACTGAGACTTCCATCTTCTAAGTCATCACCACTTTGATTTCCACTGTCTTCTGTATCAGGTGCCACTGTTGTAACTTTGTTATCACTTTCTCCAAAGTCTCCATCAAGGATGCCATCCCCTCCTTCATTACCTGCCTCTGTTGAAATTTGGGTGCCTTCTGCTAACTCATCATCGGTGATACTCTCATCAGATTCAGCATTGCTAATCTGGAATTCTGGAAGCTCTGTAACTGGCTGAGAGTCACCTACCTCATGAGAAACACTAGAACCTTGTATACCACCTGAGAGTCTGTGTCTCCGTGGTATCCGTCTGTCACTTGGAGGGCTTGATGACAAAATCTCCTCCTGAAAAAAATTGTCAAAAATTTATGAAAACTGAAAATATAACTCATAAATTTAATTTATGTTTTATAAAATACAGTATTAATATAAAGTCTGTCTCTTATACACATCTAGATGTGTATAAGAGACAGATATATATATAGCATATTTAAAAATTGGCAAAACATGCTACCGTTCCAGCAAGTTCCTCCAGGGTTGGTCTATTCTTATCATTTTCTAATTCTGCTGCAGCCTCCTCTTCCACTCTAGGCCCTTTCTTCATACGCTTCTGCACACCCGAAAAAAACTCCTTGTAACTGAGCTCTTGTCTCTGACGCTTTAGCCTGGCTGGAGTCAATCGGCTTGAACCATGAACACTAGAATCAACATCCAGCAGAGGAGATAGTGGTCTTAAATGTGATAGATAATGAGGAAAAGATTTTGTCAGTATGTCATAATGTTCTAGATTTAATTTATAAGATATTTGTGACATTTAATCTACATAACAAAGGACGTACAGTATGCTGTAAAAGGTGAAGCTACTGTACTTAAAAAAGGGTTCTAAAAAAGAAGCCCAGGGTTTAGATCAGGATGATTTAAACCCATTCACACTACTGAAAATAGGCTCCCAGCAGGAGCATGGGTCTACTGCCAAATTTAATAGAAACGATGCTTTTTATTATTATCCAGGCTTTCCAATTTGTGCAGACTGACTGATGATTGATATTGTAATTAATAAGCTGCATCAACTCCAAAACCACCGAGTTAGGGTAGAAAACAAAAAAACCGGAAACAACCACAAGCAAAACAGTGTCGACCTGAGCTGAGTTCAACTGTTGACCCGTTTAACCACTTCTACTCGATTTAATTTTAACTTCCAACTTTCAGAACTGTGCGTCTGATATTCGATATAATGACGAATTGGCTAGCAATGCATCGTACCACACACGACCGAGTTTACGGGTAGTAGTACAATCACGTCATATCACACATCACGAATGTGACATAATGTCAACCTCAATTTATCCCCAATATTTCAATTTCCCGGATCTGCCACTGATACTTGTGGTTACTGGAATCAACCTCCTTGTTTTTTCGTTACTATAGGAATTGTATAGCGTATTCCTTTCACCACCACTCATTTACTTTCTTTTTAAGTGCACTGACACTTTGGTATAATGTGCTATATTAAGGCCTACTACATTAAAATACATTGTGTTAAGTTTGACAAAAATGTATCAAATGTGATCACAGCTTTTGATACGAACCTGCCTTTGTGAGTGCCAATTTCTTCGTCATCATATATTCCAGGCAATGCAAAGTTCTCAGTGGGAGGAGAATCTAACCGATGAACTGCTGGTGTTTCAGGAGCAGCTTAAAATATTCAAACATGTAAAGTATACATTAGCCAACAATATCTTAAGCTAAGTTATTTATTGTATATATATAATCATACTGTAGTAGTTAAAAAAAGTAGTAGATTATCTCTATATCATTATTCAGCAATAAAAATATTAAAAACTTAAGCAAACGCATCAACAAAATATACAAGTTATTGTTATCACTACAACTTTTCATATATATTCCACATCAATAATTAACAATATTATAATAACAATATAATAATAATTACATTTTATAGTAACTAGCAATAATACTATCAATAATATTGTGACCGGGCTGTGGATATAAATCAGGGGTGGGCACAACGGTGGGGGAGGGCCAAAGTAATTTTTTTTATTTCACACCCAAACTTTGATGTTTCCAGTGTGCTTCCAAAAAAACCTTTATGCCCTGCTTGTATACTGCCCCATGCTCAGTTTTAATATAGTTTTTTACATGATCACTATTGGACCATACAAAGCAAGGGGTTTTCTAGCCAAAGATGGTTGGTGGGCCGCACACATAGGGATTTTAATTTATTTTTGCGGGCTGCAACAAAATCACCATCAGGCCGCATGTGGTTCACGGGCCGCACTTTGCCCACCCATGAAATAAATAATCATACTAATAATAATATCAATAATAATATTAATATCAGTAATAATAATAAATTATTAATAAAATGTTCATAAAATAAATTCTTACCATCATTAAGAAATCCCTGTATGAGACCCCTTGGTGTCAGGGCATCTATTTCCTTTGCCGGTACCTGTAAAATCTTTCTAGATGAACTGGACGCTGCAGCCCGACTGGCACTGCGAAGCAAACGGTTTGTAACAGCAACCTTGGCAGATACTTCTGGAGTACGTGAACTGAATTGTTTAGGAGTTAAACGCGTCCTTTTACCTGGCGACTGCTCACTTAATGACCTTTTTCTAGGGCTAGCCTAAGAACAAAAACATTAATATTTACAATTTATTATAAATTGTGTAAGTACAGTATTCATGAAATAAAATTGCATAAAAATTGCAAAAACTGGAGCATAAAACTACACATTTTGAGGTATATAATTATTAATATAATATTCCTTGTCGTTTTCTGCAAAAGAACTGGTGCATTTTTCACACCCCCTGGATCTATCACTGAAAAAACTCCTAAAATTATGTGTTGCCAACCGAAATCTAAAAGTTATTGTTGTTGCATTTTATTCTTTAAATATAATAAAAGAGCACATTTTAAGCTATTGATTTGGTATTTTAAAAGCACAGATTCTGGACTCATCTGAATTTGAATGCCTTTTAAGCCAGGCAATCACTGCCTCCGACAGTCGTTGGCTGGTGTGATTTTACGGAAAACGCATTGCCACAATGTGCGCACAATGGATCGTTTCTAATGACGATCCATAAATACTGTACTGTCACCGACAATCAGCACTGCCGGCATTGCATCGTGTAGCACTCACGGACAGTGGAGTGGGTTTCGTTGGGTGACGGATATACGATGCAGTGAATGTACGGGTTTATGATTGCACATTAGAGCGTCATCGACTCTCCAGTTGACAGCAGGAGAGACCAGCAAATTCTGTGCACTATATTATAGTTTATTTACTTATTTGTTTATTTAATTTCAGTATTATTTTTTTCAGTCATGTACTCACATTGTTAACACCAACAGTGCTGCTTCTTCTTTTGCTATTAGGGAATTCCTGCAGCGAGCGTTGACTTCTCCTCCTCTGTTTAACTTTTTGATTTATAGCCGATTGGTTGATATCACTGGACAGTAAGAATCCCTGTATTAGGCCTCTTGGAGTTTCGTCAGCGCACATGATTGCGTGTTATAGTAATATTCATTTAGTGTTTTGTACAAATTGCCTGTAGTGTATTAACAGAGAAATGAATAAAATTAAATACATGAATTAAGTGGCACATTTACTTATACTTTGGTAGTAATACAGTATTAATATAAAGTAAAAGACTACAGATTTAAAATAAATTTCATTTTTGTCAAAATCCGTTCGAGAGTAGCATTGTGTGCGTATAACGAGAAACCTTGGATAAGGTTCCTGATGATGACATAATTAATATTGAATCCTGACACGATGGTGTGCATGTTGCATAACCAGGAAAAAGAAGATTTATTCAAAGAAAACAGAAACTTGAATATGATCTTGAACAACTAATCTAATTATTAACACTAAGCTTAATTTATAAGTTGGACAAAATCATTCAAAAGAAACAACCTTGCAGATGCCTAAAAATGAGGGGCCAACTAGGCCCCTTACTTACTTATGGCATGGTTGATCAGACAACTCCCTGGGTTGATCAATGATTGATAATAATTTGCATATGATCAGCCACTGCCAATGAAATGCGTTAATGTGGTTTTAATATAAATTAGGCCTGCTTGTGGATGGTTATAAATCTAGCGTTATTAATAAAGCCAACTCTATGTTAGGAATTATTAAAAGGACTTTTTACTAACATTAGCCCTGAAGTATTTTGCATATAATATAAGACGTTGGTAAGTCCACATCTTGAGATAAATAGCCCCGTTTGGAACAACCCACTCCAAAAGCAATATATTAAGTTAATTGAGGCTGTTCAAAGGGCTATTAAATTAGTAGTTGGATTGCATGACTTGCCATATGATAATTAGGTCCTACTGTAGAACTCTAGGATTACCAACGTTAGAGTAGACAACTTAGATCGGATATTATACAAATTTTTAAGATCATCAGGGGATGGGTCAAAGTTGATGCAGCTACTACATTTTTTTAGTTTACTTCTTGTCGGAGGGCATAGATTTAAGTTATATAAAACCTGTAGTGTCACCAATTTAAGAAAGTACTCTTTTTCATGTAGAGTTATTGATGTCTAGAATAATCTCCCTGATGAGTTGGTGAATGCATCTTCAATAAATATTTTCAAGTCAGGCCAAAACTCTACCGGTGTTGACTAGGGATGCATGCATCCTAAATCAGCGGTTGGGGAATAGACTTTTTATTTAGATTTACATAAAAAAAACTCACAGCAAATTTGACAGTGAAATCAGTGAAATCCATCAGATTTTGACCTAGGCCTACCACATGGACTGGATCGGCACCCATCAAAATTTTACGCCACAACAAAGTAGTATTGTGACCTGAGGAAGAGTGGGCCATATAAGCATTCATGCTTCACAACGGCCCAAGAATACAAGTAAGAGAGAGTAGCTCTAGTCTAGACTTGGCTGAGGCAGAGCCTAGCCACTCACTCAGTCACTCTGGTGGTGTTTCACTCGTCTGCCGTGTCCATCCGTCCGTTTAACCTATTCCTAGGCCTAGCCTAGGTCTCTAGTCTCCTACCTAGGGCCTACGTTATAATATAATAAAAACACTACAAACATTTACGGTAAGTTGAATAGTATGTATATGAACAAACCTTTCAGTCAGACAAATTTTCAACCAGCTGTTGCTTTATTACTTCGGCTGTCCATTTGGTTCTTCTCTGTTTTGTTAAAAATCACCAACATTGCCGACATTCAATTTAAGCGCGCGCTCTTTCCGCACTGATGATGCGGAGCCTACCACGTACGTCGTCTCAGGTCTACTTGTTTGCCGCCCTCTATGCAAGTTATTAAACCGTTCAAAGATCTTGATTCTTAGTACCGGAACCTCCGTCAAGGGTCTCAACAAATCTTAGACCCATAAACAATAAAACAATTACATATCAGATGGGGACACAGAAAAATAAAAAGAGTACCATTACCAACAAAATTTTGAGAAAAATAATTTATATGGATAAGGAAAACTGGGGACATGCAATTCTCATTTTTGCTATTGTTTTAAATACAGTATAATACTGTACATACAATACACGCCATCGTGTTGGGTTCAATATTTCGACATTAATTATGTCATCATCAGGAATGATGATGATGATGACATAATTAATGTCGAAATATTGAATCCCAACACGATGGCGTGTATTTCAATACTTGGAGTATTTATTATACTTTCTTATCTGAGATTAATCAGTGGACCTTTCGGTTTTTTAAATACAGTGTCACGATATCTTTAAGAGTTTGGTTAAAGCAGCCCAGCTTTTGCTGTTCACATAACAGTTAACTTAAATAGTCATTATTGAAGATAGCCGAGAGGTCATCCAGTGCAGTGGTGGAGCCAGCAGGGGGAATTTTCCCACCCGTCGGACAGGCCTGGATCTCCTGTCACCCAACGCAACGACTAGGTCGTCGGAAAAAACAATGATTTGCCTATCCAAATAACGTTATTTTGATTGCCAATCCATGGTCTAAAAGCACAACAATTTGGAGCATACTCTAAGCCATAAAAACTGCCCATGTGACCCTACATGGATTTTTTATATTCCGGGACCCCGACCGAGGCTCTAGTTGGCCCCTTGGTTCGGACCCTTCGTCGGACATGTCGGGTCCCTTGTCGGCAAATTTCTGGAGCCACCGCTGATCCAATGCCTTTGCAAATATTAATTTCTGCGGTAGGATTTCTACGCTTTCCCTTATCATTTTATTTTCTTTTTCAAAATGGTTCTTCACAGCATGTTTTTATATTGTTTTGCTGAAGGTCTTGTTGTGTTCACCGACTCCTATTATCGGACCAGTTGTTTTGTACAGTAGGCCTACCTGTTCTTTGAGCCTTGCAGGCCGGCCGGCCGGTCCATGCAGATTTTTTAATATTACGTTGATCCGTGACAACTTATCTTGTAAATTGCTCCAGCATGATTGTTTTTTTTTTTTTTGTTTTTTTTTTTAGCTTTGTTTTTTTGGATGTAGGCCTACCAAGAATGAACGTGCGAATTTCAAGGGATGTTAAACCTCCACTCTTGATTACCATTCTATTTTAATATGTGCGTAATATCTGTCGCACTAACTGCGTCAGCTCGGTCCTGACTACTGTTCTTTTATGCTCAACAGGCGCGGATCCAGCGTGGGGGGTGGGGGCATGAGGTCAAGGCGAAAAATAAAAAAGCGGAGAAGAATTTGAGTTAAAGAGAGGAAGGGGAAAAGGGAGTGCACCCATGAGTTCAGTGGAGATCCAGCAGCAGGTGGAGAAAGGATCCGGAGCTCGATTGTTTAACACATATTTACACCAACCGTATCAGGCCTATATGGTAGGGTGGAGGTAGGCGTGGCGGCGTGAACTTCATATTGTGCCCCACCCACCCCCGTCAGAAAATCTCTGCATCCGCCCTGCTCAATATGGCGTTTGGAAATAGGTCAATGTAAATGGATTTCTTATTATAGGCTGTAACTTAACTTTGGTATTGTCCTCGTTACGGTGAATCAGATTGTAGGTCATATACGGTATTGAAAAAACTGTATTTTAGTTGGCATTGACGAAAATGATCAAAGATCAATCCCTCTCGCTACTCTACATCAATGATAGTTTGAACAATAATGATTTAAAAAGTATTCAGGCCATATCCGTTTTGAAATTGTAGTCATTGTGCCTAGATATGGACCGTTCTGAAGTCAGACCCTGGAGGAAAAAAAATTTTTGATATGTTGTAGAACTGATTTTTCCAAGATAGAAAAAAGTTTGACGAAAAACTGGGGAACGGTGAACGAGCTACAGATTTTTTAATATTTAAAAACTGGGGGGAAAAGGGGCGTAATCACCCATTTTTACACCTTTTTCCCCCAGTTTTTAAATATTCAAAAATCTGTATCTCATTCACCGTTGCTCAGTTTTTCGTCAAACAACTTTTTTCTGTCTTAGAAAAATCAGTTCTACAACATATCAAACATTTTTTTTCCTCCGGAGCCTGATTTTAAGCACCGCCCCATAGATATTCCTGTCCCCGAAAAAAAAACGTACGTAAACGAGTGCGTTTATGGGACTACACGGGTAGGCCTACGCTTTGTTGGACAAACAGGTATTCATGGCCCTAGCCTGATTAGTCAGTTGTTATGTTTGAAACTACGAAAAAGGTCTCAGTGGCGGATTCAAGGGGGGAGGGATGGCTAGCCGCCCCCTCCCCATAATTTTCCCAAAAGAAAAACAAGAAAATAATATTCAAAGTTAAGCCTGAGAGTGCCATTTCCGGACATCTAGAGGTGCTGTAATCATAAATTTTAAATAGGCCTACATTGTAGACCCTTCATTTTTTAAAGTTCCTCCCTGGGCCTCATTTAGAATTTCTGGATCCGCCACTGGGTACATGGTTCCGTATCCCGGATCTTCAAATGAATGCCCTTTCTCTTCCACAACGACAGTTAACATGTTAGAATGATACAGGTTCTGAGGACTTCACCTTCAAAAGAAATTCCTCTCCATTTATGTAATCTAATACGGCCATGAATGAGCGATTTACAAACAGATTTTTCTGGGAAGCCCTCCAGGTCCCCTTACAATTCAAATTTTAAGTCGCTGGTATCAATAGGCCCGTGGGATAAAACATTAAATCCGCCTCAGCGATATTGTGTTTAGTTAGCTTCAATGAAACATGACGTAAATGAATAACACAAAATGTGAACTGGGCTATGACGCTCACAATTTATTGGAGAAACTTGTAACAGAATAATCTTTTCTTTTGTTGAGTTAACGGCACTCTTCTTTCTTTATGGACATAAATAACAACAGAGACAGGCCTATATCTAGGAAACGCAAAATTATGTTTTGTTTCTTCAAGTTATATTTTCTAGAAAAGATTAAATTAGATATTTCTTTGATGAGCTGATGACGTCATTATAGACTTGGGCATAGGCCTAGCGACCAACGTGCACACAAGCACAATTTAGTCTTGAGCCAGTCACTACTGCCAATTTTCAGTGAACCAATTGAGAATTAGTGGCATATTACCGCAAAATTATAAACTGTGCTTATGTGCCGCATAGTATAATACATGTCAAGAGATTGAGGATGTTTATTGTAATGCGGGCTCAAAACTATTTATGACATCAGCTCAGGAAAGTACAACTTTACAACAAGGATATTATTGCCAAAAAAATGAACAATGAAGTATCATTATCATATACTCTGGTTTTCACCAAATTGCGGATAGGCGGACATATCAGGAATATGAATCCGTTGTATACTATTCGGTAAATAAGTTCCTTCTAGTACAGTTTTACTGCAAGGTGAACGGACTTCAGTTGTATTGTCAGTGTAGGCAAGTTGGGAGGTCAGTCTTGCCTCACTTGCAGTTAGCCCCATGGCATCTGTGTGGCTTTGTTGCTGCTGTGTGTCCTTAACTTCACCCTTTTTGTGAGATTCTGGATGTGGCTGTCGACTATGTCTATATTCAGTCGAGTCAGAGGGCCCTGGTCGACTCTCTTCCCTTCTTTCGAGATAAACATTACCATCAAGATGCACATAACTATTATACATGTTTGGTGGAATCGAATGACGATAGTACACATTATCTGTAACTGTATTAAAAATAACAGCCTGTCCCCCGTCTAGAACATAGTTTTGCGAAGTAACCCCTTGTCCGGCGTCCGATAGAAAATGATTTCCAGAATTCTCAGATGTTGACCACGATATAGTATCTAGACGTTGCGGATATTTTTCGCCAAAGCGAACGGCATTTTCTTCAACATCGCTTATAGTTGAAGGTGGGTCATATTCGCTAGAACTCCGGCGGTCCACTTGGATCGACCGCCCCCGTGACCACCGGTCTCTATCAAACACATGGTGCGACTGTGAAGGTTCACCTGTATGCAGTTGCCCTATCGCATCTGATATTGGAATTTTTTGGGGGGTTTTCAGATTATTCAAACGATCACGTTGTTTTCGCGTTGTCGCTATGTTGGTGTTCGAACACGGTGCCAGACGTCTCAAATCATTGTGTTTCACCCTCAATCGACTATCTGACGTTTGGCTCCCAGGTTGCCGGTAACAAGCGTCCGAATGACCTTCAATGGCTCTTTGAAACGTCATGGTCTTCAGTCTATGAGAATAACGAACACAACCCATGACTGCATTGCGGAACATCAGCAAATTCCATATAGTAAAAAATACTAAACTTAAGAAATAGAACATTACAACGATAAGATCCATTGTAAATATACTATTTTTTGTAAATGATAAGAATATTAATGTAGCTGGCAGGATAAGTCTAGTTGAAAACGTTACAGTGGCTCCAGTGTATTTATTTATCCACGTAAAATTAACGAGTTCATTTTCATCCTTATCCATGCCACTTAACAGTTTTGAGGTGTCGATAAATACGGAATCAGCCTGGAACACTAAGCCCAGGACCCCACATAGACCGTTTTGTCTCTCAAGTAGAAACACCATATATAACGTAATCGTCAGTAGATGGTGCACTGTGTGTATTCCGTAGGCGGTGAAGTGGTTGTAGTGAATAGTGTCGAGAAGTGCCTTGAATATGTAGAAGCCAACCATGATAGCAAAACATATTTGAACGGAACGTGGAAAATCACGGAACGGTGCCTGAACTACACTTGTTGCACACAGCATCACGATGCCTGACAGGAATAACGCCACGTTTCCCAGCGATAGCACGATGCTGAGAATAAATGAAAAAATATGTAAATACTATAGAATAGGGCCTAGATGATCAATATTGTACTTTTATTTTAACACATTCCACTGATGGACCCAGTGTGAAATCATTATAAGAGATAAAGATGGGAAAATCTGCGAAGCTTCCTCAAGGGGTAGCCCACAGGTGGGCAAGTGTGGCCCGCGGGCTGCACGGCCCCGCCAACGATTTTTTTTTGCGCCCCGCAAAAATAAATTAAAATCCCATGTGTGCGGCTCGCCAAGCAACATTCTATAAAACACATTGTTTTTTACGACCCGACACCGATAATAGGCCTATGTATAAAAGTAAAATTAAAACTGAGAATAAATCGTAAAAAAAAGTGTAAAAGCAATTCTTGGAGGTATTTGGAAGCACAGTGGAAACATCAAAGTTTGGGAGCGGCCCTCGGTGTTAAATCAAAAATTCACTTTGGCCCTCCGACCGATGTTTATGCACACCCGTGGAACAGCCTCCGGACACCCAAAATAAGTAAGCAGAGGTAGCGGCAGGATTTGCCCGACGGGGGTCTGACGTCCCCGACAGGAAGGAGGGGGAGAGATGTTTTCCGTCACATTTTTCGGGGG